AGTGGCTTAAACAACAGGAATTTATTTTCTCATAGTTCTTGAGGTTAGAATTCCAAGATCAAGGTGTCATCAGAATTGGTTTATTTGAGGCCTCTCTCCATGGCTGTGTCTTCACGTGATCATCCTTCTGTGTGTGCCTGTGTTCAGATTTCCTCTTCTTAAAAGGACACCAGTTAGATAGGATCAGAGTCAACTCTAACGGCCTCTTTATACCTTAGCTACCGCTTTAACGATCCTACCTCCGCAGCCACTGGGGGTCAGGACGTCAACATAACATCTAGGGGGACACAACTTAACCCATGACCTTTGGGTCTCCAGGTCTCCGGCTCACCCGCCTTCTTCTCTCCACCTTTCAGAGTCTCATATTTATCACCTGCGCAATGTCCAGAGTTTTTAGCTGTACTTAGTGGGAGGAATAGGGACAAGCAATATACTTGTACTCCATCTTCAGAAGCAGAAGTTCCCCCACTGAGTTGTCCCCTTATACTTAGTGGCCCCGGGCAAGGTCTTGACTAAGGCCAACGAGCAGAGAAGGGCAACACAGCTCCTAGAAGGTGGCTCAGCATAAAGTCAAAGATCAGAACCAGGATACAAGAGCCTAGGGAGCATCTTTGCACTGGAATTGCAACAGGTGAGGTCCTAGGTGGCTTAGGAAGCAAAACAGAGGGGTTCCAGCTAGCTGGAGGACGGAGGAAGGGGTGGGACTAAGCACAGAACTGGAACTCGGTACTCGGACCCACTCAACCCACTTATCCCTGTGCTGTGGGCTTGCCTTGAGTGAATTGGAGGAATCTTAACACCTCGGCAGGCAGACCACTTTGCTGGGGGTAAGGAACCTCGGCACAGAGTGTGGTGCAGAGTGGAAGCCACTTCTCATATATGGGATAGTTATTGTTTTGGCAAATGAACAGGGGTCTGCACCAAGGCCGGCAGGGCCCATGCGGTGACACTGGTGGTAGATGTCCTCGTGTGTTGACCAGACTGACCACCGACCTCAGGCCCACCTAGCAGGGGTGTCCCCATCGGGAGGCCACAGACTTCTACAGGCATGCCTAGGGGTCTGCCCATATGACTGGGAGAGTTTAATCCCCTTGTATCGCGGCAGCCCCAGATCAGTCATGGTCGCCTATTCCAAAGAAATCACCTGGAGGACAGATTGGTAAAAATATAGGTTTATTGCTTCTTTCTTTTTTTTTTTTTAGTTGGAGTTTCACTCCATTGCCCAGACTGGAGTGCAGCAGCCGCTTCTGGCCACCGCAGCCTCGACCTGCTGGGCTCCGGCGATCCTTCCGCCTCAGCCTTCCAAGTAGCTGGAACTACAGGCGTGTGCTACCACGCCTGGCTGATTTTTTGATTTATTGTAGAGATGAGGTCTCGCCAAGTTGCCCAGGTGGGTCTTGAACCCATGGGCTCAGGAATCCACTCACCCCAGCCTCCCAAAGTGCTGGGATTACAGGCTGAGCCACCAAACCCGGCTTCTAACACGTATCTTAACTGAAGTTTTCCTTCAATGTCAAGACTAAGGTCTTTGCCACTCAGTTTTAATATCATAAAACTGTAAATACTGAATTAATAATACCAAATTAACAATTCAAATTCATACACACTTTAAATTTAAAAATAATTGATTAAATAAATGTTTCCACATTTTTTTCCATCTACCCTATGCTGTCCTGCCACCACACATATCATACTACCTCAACATCTGTTTTTTACTTTCTCTCCAAGCAATTTGGGCTTAAAGGAGGAACTTTAGTTTCTGGAACACAGTTGCAGCCATGGTTTTACACTTCAATTTTTTTCTGCTGAGTTAAAAATTTCAATCAGAAATATGTTTCAATTCTTTTTTTTTTTGAGTTGGAGTCTCACTCTGTTGCCCAGGTTGGAGTGCAGTGGCATGCTCCCGGCATGGGCTCTCCTGGTGGGCTCAGGAGATCCTTTCATCTCAGCCTTCCAAGTAGCCGGAACTACAGGCACGTGCTACCATGCCTGACTAATTTTTTGATTTTTATTGTAGAGTCCAAGTCTCACCATTTTGCCCAGACTGGTCTCAAACCCGCGGGTTCAGGCAATCCTCTTGCCTCACCTCCCAAAGTGCTGGGAATATAGTCTTGAGTCACCGCGCCTGGCCTGTTTCAATTATTTTTAACCAGTCATTTGTGCTTTTACAGAGTTACACTTTTCAATTTCTTCAACAAACTACCATACTTCAGAAGAGCGTCCCCCTACCTGGTTTATTTTAAAAGGTATTTTCCTTGTGTATGTCTTGTCAAACTGTTCATTCCACTTTCCTTTGAAGTAGATGGTATTGACAAGAACCAGCCTGGTCTCTGCATCAATCGAGTTAACTGGTAACAACTCTTGAATTTTACCTTTCAAAAAAAGTAGAGACTATGTTCAGTTGCTTTTTATAAAAGCCTGATGAATAAACTGTGATAGGATGTATCAGCAGATCCTAGATTATTAGTCAAGAAGCAAACATTCTGTTTTCAAGTTTGCTGAATTTGACTTGTGATGTATAGAAATCACATACGAGTGATAATCATAGTTACCGACACCTCGGGAACATCCACCAAGTTGAGGATGGTGAAAGACTTCTAAGTCACTCAAGGAAAACAGGTTGGTAGAAAGAAAAACTACATCAGGTTGGAGAATAAGACCAGCAGGAAATGAGATGGACTGGAGGACACGCTTATCTCATGTGGTTTAATGGAGTATTTTATATAACCCTCCTTGGGTACACCTAGTTCTAACATTCTATGATGATCGGTAGACACATTAGATGCAGCCTGAATAGAGGGCTCAAAGAGGAAAAAGCTGGCATTGGGCATATGCGGAGTTTCTGGACGTCTCTGGGAAGAGATATTACTGCTGGATCCTCTAAACAAAGTACCAGGCATCCCCGGAAAAGAGAATGTGGGCAAGTGAAGACAACCCCTTCCTCCCCTGGAAATCAAGTGGTACCTTTCCAATGAACTCAGAGCATCCCTGTTAATTAATTGCTTCAAGAGGGCATCAGTGAGCCAGGTGTGGTGACTCACGCCTGTAATCCTAGCACTTTGGGAGGCAGGGGTGGGAGGATTGCCTAAGTCCAGGGGTTTGAGACTAGCCTGGGCAATTTGGCAAGACCTCATCTCTACAATAAATTAAAAAATTAGCCAGGTACAGTGGCGCACGCTTATAGTTCCAGCTACTTGGAAGGCTGAGGCAGAAGGATTGCCTGAGCCCAGCAGGTCCAGGCTGCCGTGGCTGTGAGTGTGCCGCTGAACTCCAGCCTGGATGATAGAATGAGACTCAGACTCAAAAAAAAAAAAAAAAAAAGTGCATCAGTGGTAAAGATCCCAAGAAGAAATGGAGGAAACAATTGCTGAATCTTTAAGAAAAGACTACCTCTCATTTTTTACTGTTTTATTTCTTAACAGAAATAGAAATATTCCTAATGATACTAAGCATAACTGGGGCACAGAAGTCTAAACAACTCAAATATCATTGGTCTTAGAGGCCAAGACTGGAACATGTCACTCTCTGAAATAGAAACGAATAAGGTTCGACCCCAAATGGAGGATGTTTTCAGTCTGTAGAACTGATAAGCCCTGAGAGGGGATCTGCAGTTGACCATCAAGTCTAGGTTTATCAAGTCAGATTCAGGGTGCTTAAGTAGAAGATTTGAAGAGGCAAAGAAGTACCCATAATGGGTAAAGGTGATGGTGAAGGAAGTCCTGAGTGTATGACTCAGGAAAGATCTGTCCATCAATCTCCTCACAGAGATGATGAAGTCACTTGGCATGTGAACGTTATAGGCCAGTGAGAGTGTGTTTTCACATAAGTTATTTCACATAAGTTTCTTTCAACCTTTGTATCAGCCACTCTGGTCCTGGGAAAAATAGATAAAATTCACTCCTGTTGTTGAAAACCTAAGCATCTGATCGGAACCTTTATGAGTCCATTAAGGTTCAATATGCCTTGAGACCCAGTCAGTCAGCCACACTCTGAACATCTGAAACACCAGTGAAATCAGAGGGGCAGGAGTGAGGGGGAGAAGGTGGGAAAGGAAGAGCAGAAGAAATGGGGGAGGCACGGGAGGAGCAGGAGGTCGGGGTGGGGATGGGGAAGAGGGTGAAGTAACTCGTCATTCTCACCTTCAGTCTTTTTTGATACCCAAGTGTTGATGTGTTTCCTGGACTCTTCGGCAGCTTTGGCAAAGGAAAGCTGCTCTAGCTCAGCACGGTAGAACTGAAGACAGGACTCCTTAAATGCCTTTGGAGAGAAAAGTGTTCAGTGAGGCTGTCTTGCTAAATAAAATGTCAGCAAGTTTCCAAAGGCTTTCAGTATAATATCATTTTTTAAAAAGGAATATATCTACCTTAAAATGTGATCATATATTAGTCTACTAGATGCTAAAAGATCAGAGTTTGTAAAGAGGTATGTACTGAGCCCTAAATAACCAGAAAGTAATTTTAGAAGTAGTCAAATTTTAAATATTGCAAGGTATAATTCTAGAATTAGAGTCTTTTAGAAAAGTTTATTGACAGTAGCCAGAAACTGTGGGGCGGGGGGGTGGGAGGGAACATAACATGAACAAGGGTACCTGTTCCCAAACCAGGCAAAGTGAGGACCAAAGGGAGACCTGAACTTTACCTATACAATGACCGCTTGTATACTTAATCCTGAATTGTACCCCACATCTTAAAAATAAATAAATAAATAAATAAATAAATAAAAGTTTACCATGAGTTTGTGAATTTCTCTAGGGTGTTTCTCCCAGATGCTACATCCCTCTAGGTATGTTTATTTTTATTGTTCCATCAATCCACTTACTGAGAAGAATTTGCAAGTCTTCTCTGCAAAGAGCCTGTTGGCCATCTTGAGCAGGTACTGCGTGCCAGGCCTATTCACTTCAGCCAAAAGGGACTGGAAACCCAGATGAACGTCTTCCTCAGTATTCAAAGAAAGCACCTGTCAAGAAAAAAATAATAAAATACAGCTCTTGGACTTCAAAAAAATTTTGCAAGCAAATTTCTTTCTCCAATATGTCACAAAATTTTCTTTTGAAAGGAAGCTGTTTTTATTTTGAGAATTTAATGCATCTTTAGTGAAGTGACACTGGCAGGGTGGGTGGAGAGAGAGAGAAAGGGCAGAATAAAGGTGAGCGAAAGACGTGGCTGTTCTGCCTGAATGGTGGTCTCTTGTTTAAGGATGAGTAGCAGGAAAAAACAACAAGAGAGAGATGCCGAAAAGGGGCTATCATCAAATGTGCCCCAAACAGAGGGAAACTTACCTCTAAACTTCATAGAAAAAAAAGAGATATGGTTAAAGGCACTAAAAACACAACAAAAAATGGGTGAAAAATATAATCATAAATAGAATTTTCAAAAGGAAATAGGGTATAAAATGAGCAATATGATTAACAAGACTAAAACTTAGTTATTAAATTTATACCCTACCAGCTACTTGGAAGGCTGAGGCAGAAGAATTGCCTAAGTCCAGCAGGTTGAGGTTGTGGTGGGCAACAGAGTGAGACTCCAACTCAAAAAAAAAAAAAAAAAAATTTATACCCTAGAGAGAGTATATATTATATATTTTTATTGTTACTTTAATATTTCAAAAAGGCAACATAAGAAAAGTCTCAATCAATTGTGAATACACAAATTATACAGGTTATATTCTCTGACCTCAATATAGCAAACTAGAAATTAAGAATATTGTAAGTAAATGCCAACAACATAAAAATGACCCTATTAAATACTATTGAACACACTTTCTAAATAAATAATTCTCATAAGTAACAATTAAAATGTTATTCTAAGTAGATAATGCTTCTAAATACTCTTATAAATAACTATATGGCAAATGATTTAGAAAATAATCAAATTAGGAGTGATATACACTAGACCAAAGGGTTTGGCCAAAGATAAGTAAAAAAGATAGCCCTAATTGTTTTTAATAATACCAAGGAAATAATGAAATTATAAAACTTTTAACTCGTGATGTTAGAAAAGTTCCTAAGGAATCGAGGAAAAAACATAAAATGATCAATAAATCCAAGAGTTGGTTCCTTAAAAGAAAACATACACATACAAAACAACCAACCATCTAGAATATATAAGAAAAATATGAGCCGGGCTCGGTGGCTCAGCCTGTAATCCCGTGCGTTTGGAAGGCTGAGGTGAGTGGATTGCCTGAGCCCGTGGGTTTGAGACCCGCC